ACAATCCGTCCGTTTCTACATTCGATACTCTGTATCTGCGTGTGATTTGAATTTCGAAAACGCGAAAAATTCGGACGGAGCGTCCGATCCATAGTACTGCGCGAACAAATATGGCGCATTAAGATCGAGGATAGCGCGATAAATACACACATCGACGGCGGCGGCGGCGGCACGCGTAAATATGTATATCGAATAAAAACGCTTTTATTTGAAAATTTCGTACTTAATATGAATAACTTAGTATTGTACGATGTTAAATCGCGTTTCTCTTAACATTCCCGATGGATTATTGCACGAATAACACATTCTGTTTGAACGAATATGCGCGCGAGATTTTAGTCTGTTACGATATAATATAAGTACGCGATTTTGGTATTTCATGAATAAATATTCTATTTACATATTACATAATCATTTATGTAATAAAATAGTTACCCATTTCCACATTCGGCATTTTAGATGTTGTAGCTGCATGCAATTTGAATTTCGAAAACGCAAGAAATACGGAGCGTCCGATTCGCAGCACTGCGCGAACGAATATGGCGCAGCAACAAGACCGAGCGTACCGCGATACGCCGCCGCGCCGGCGCGTGACGTCATCACCTCGAGGTAGTAAAAACAACAACACAAGGTTTGAATTACCACACGCGTAAATATGTACAGCGAACTAAAAAAAATGTTTCGTTTAGATTTGAACATTTCGTATCTAATAAGAACGAATTAATATTATACGACATTATGTTTCTCTCGATAATCTCGTTATATTATTGCGCGCGTAAAGACCACTTTTTAATAAGCTATAAGTAACAGATCATAAGTCAGAAGCTAAGAATTGACCAATCACAGATTGAATATAATAAGAATACTCGACTATGATTGGTTAATTCTTATTTTCTGACTTATAATCTATTACTAATAGCTTATTTTAGAAAGCCTATAACACAGTCTGTTCGAACGAATACGCGCGCGAAGTTTCATTCTGTTATGCTACAAGTACGCGATTGTCGTATTTGAATACGATTCTCTTTATATAATCATTTATATAATAAAATAATTACCCATTTAGTGATGCAGTTAAACGAATTTCAAGTGAAGTTTCCTTTTTCATGGTACTATATAGCTCGAGGCTACCAAGGTTATGAGGCTCCCACCGATCAAGATCCCAATTTCCTTCTTGGCTGACTTTTTTGGCAACACTTATCGCAGCAATTCGTTTTGGTTGCATAACTATATTAATATTATAATTCTTGTATAATCTATATATTATTTTTCTCATGATTTAATAATACTAAAATAAAAAAATTTGATAAAAATATACCTTACCTGTAACATCACAGTTAAGATAGATAAATCATTAAATTTTGGATTATAAGTAAAATTGCACTTTTGATAGATTTTAGTCAGATGCTCTACATAGAGTTTTTGTAGATCATCTTTTAATCCTGGGGATGTCATTTAATTTTTTTCTATTTCCATCTTTACTATTCATATACTAAAAAAGAAAAACAAATTTAATGTAAAAGAATTTCTTTTCATACATTATGTGATTAAATAAGAAACTATTTTACTCTGAAATATTCTTCGGCTTCTGTCTGTATAATTCTTTATAAACATTTCTTCCATGGTATAGCCTTAGTTGTGTAACCTTAAAGTTATTATTTCTCTCATTTGAGGAAGCCATAATTTTCAATTTGTTTCATACAGCTTTCTAAATGTAAAATGTTTTACTACTAATAAGTATATTACACATACAACTTTGTAATAGAGATAAAAAAAATTGGATAACGCAATAGCAAATTCTTAACTCTTTACTAATGAATTATATGTTTACGTATAAGAATGTTGATAAATGTCCAGTTTAAGTCCTCCTACCGCCGATTTTGACAAAAAGGCTCATTCGACACGTTTTTGCACAAAACGAAAGAATCTGGCAGAAAAAAGCATCGTTCTACCCCGCAAAACGAAATTAATCATTAAAGTTTACATTATTTAGGGTTAGGAAACCT